GACCTAGTTCATTGTAACTTAACCCCCTCCTAATGAGAAATCGCGTATACAATTTACATGATAAAATAATGCGATGAATATTAAACATCTCGTCTTTTTTATATGCCGCATATCATATCTAGTTCAATATTATAAACGCACAAAGATTAAAAAAATGTGTTAATCAACCCAATACATACTTAGATTATCAAACGATACGTATGGAGGCGTATTATCGTGGCAGAATTTTAAGAATGTAGGTCAATTTTCAAAAGTAGGTCAAACTTACCTAATTTAGGTTTATATAATTGTGTGCATAATTCTGAACCTCATGATTATTTATATTAGTGTATTTCAAACTTTGAGAAATATGTCATACTGACCTGATTTGGTCGGACGATGGACGCAAAGGTACGACCTGAGATCATTTTGATACTTCGGCCAAGTAAGGGTCCGTTTTCAACGGGGTCAATTTTCAACGGCATACATGTGGAAAATTGATCTCTTACGGGGTCCATTTTCAACAGCTCCCCGGTTCCATTTTCAAAGTTGAAATCTTGCCCCGGTTCCATTTTCAATGGCACGACAAGCTCAGCTCACCAGACTCAAGTTGTCCGTATACAGTACAGTAACTGACGTAACAAACACAACGTTACTCCGACACGACAGCTCATATATATAAGTACCTAAAATATATGAACACAATGCTACAAACCCACAACCATATCATTTAGAGACTTTTAATAAGTCCAGTAAAAAGTGTCCGTTTTGCATTGAACGAAAATTCTTCGAACTGAAGTGATTCTAATTGATCAATTTTGTGCAAACTTAATGCTAGGTACATCCCTTTCTCATCACACGACCACCTATTGGTTGTCGCACACATACTGAAAGGTGTTTTAAAGTCTATCCACGAGGTGAACCCATCATATGTTGCAGGTTTTACTTTGTTGATGGGTCTATTGTATTGCTGATCAGAGTCATACTGTGTCGGCAACGAGTTATCTCTATCTTGCGTTCCGCCATGTTGTCCTGTCATGCATTGAAGCTTTTGATATTCGTTCTCGCTATCATCTGTGAGACCCGCTCCGCGTCTTTGCTCCTGGATAGACACCTTCCGCGATTTCCTAAGAAGTTTCTGTCTGGATTAAGAGAAATTGTCAGCGCTTGGCTCCTCTATCTTCGTGTGTTTCGGCTCTACGGTCTTTTCTTTAGCGCCACCTAAAGTCTCATCTCTCGTCGGACTGGATAGTAAATGATATTTGGCATTGGCGTTAATGTCTGAAAGCTATTAGCTTCGTCCCGTAAACTTTCTAGTTTAGACTCTAGTTTGTCTATAGTGGTAAATATGTCATCTTTACCGGTACAAGCTGTTGCCATTACGTCTGTTGAAAACCGCTGCCACAAAAATGTAACGTTTTTCCCGGTTCTTGTTGTATAGACGTAAACAACAACATATAACCAGCAACGACATAAACAGTTCGATCAGGTTCATTTTGGCGAATGAAGTATTTACATGTGATGAGATAGAAGTAGTTATTTACATATAGTAACACAGGCTTCCGAACCTCTGGAACGTGCGGCCACCGCTACCCTCGCCGATGCGGAATTACCGGAAACGGGGAACGCTTGCGTCACTCGCCTGGCGCTACTGGCGTTCCCCGGCGTACTCAGCGCCGCGCTAATACCCCTGCCGTACAGCTCGTCCCAGGTCCCCTGTTACGCCGGCAATTCCGTATCAGCAAGTGTAGCGAGGTCCTTATTCAAAAATTATAATATTAATTACCGACCCCGGAAAAAATCGACCCCGGGTGATTGATTGATTGATTTATAGGTTTTACGTCCGCTTCACTACCGAGTAGTTCGGTTATCCAGCAGACGAAGAAAAGACGGGAAAATGAGTAGAAGGGATAAAGTATGGAGTGAAGGAATAGAGAAGGGGGACAGGGAAGAGGAGGAGCCGTCTATCCTAAATATGTATTAATGTATAAGTCTAATTTTGTAAGACGGCTCCTAGGCCTAAAAGTTGCCTTAGCCTAACACTAGTCGTATAGCAGCACCAAGCCTGGATCGGAAGTGAGGTACTGAGCCGCCGCCAGTAACACCAGTTCCTGCCGATTCTATAAATTTGGTTGGGTATATATATTTTAGAAGTCCTTCTAAATGTCTAATAAAGAGAACCTTGTTATATCGGCCGAAAACAACTCTAACTCTTTCCTCTCTGCCGGCGTTAATATGCCTACTCTTTTTATCTTTTCCGTGCGAGAATGGACAGTTCTCACATGGGACACCATTTATAGTCCCAGCCGACGGACTGTGTGTTAGTGGTTAGAGTCATGCAGGTGCCGTTTTTATCTACCCCGGGTCATTGATTGCTTGATTGCTTGATAGGTTTTACGTCCGCTTCACTACCGAGCACTTCGGTTATCCAGCAGACGAAGAAAAGACGGGAAAATGAATAGAAGGGATAAAGTATGGAGTGAAGGGATAGAAGAGGGGGACAGGTTAGAGAAGAAGCCGTCTATCCTATTTATATTTACTGTATAAGTCTAATTTTGTAAGACGGCTCCTAGGCCTTATATTTGCCTTAACCTAACACTCGTCGTATAGTATCACCAAGCCTGGACCGGAAGTGAGGAACTTTGATTTATTATATATTATTAATATTACACCTATTAGCTGTGCCAGATAAACAGATATTGATTATTATTTCAAGATTCGATTATCCCGTTATTCCTACCTAACTAATAGGTCCATATAACACTGTCGGCTTCCCTCCTTTACCCGCGCTAACCTTGTAGGGTTTTACGCCGAATGAGCGAAAGGACATATTATTTTACGGGTCGTATTATACAGTATATAGTGGTAATAATAATAACATTCAAATATTTGAGCAATATCGACTATTGACCTTGGCGTCTTGTACTATTTAATTGGGTGGTAAGTCTGATCCTAACGTTTGTGTTCTAGCCCTAAATTTGAGAATTAATTTCTCTTCTTAACTTTAGTGGTAATTCACTGCTTTCTGCTAGTAGACCAACTGATGGAGTATTTGTAATTGATCCCAGTGTTATTCTGAAGGCTTTATGTTGGATTATGTTTAGGGTTTTAAGGTAATTGGATTGTGTCACCATTTCTCAGTAGATTTTTTTTTAATTTTGTAGTTATATTGCTTTGAAGTTTAGAAAATGTTCTGCCCCCCAAAAAATATAGGTTGTCAGAATTTTAAGGATTTTAAATGGAATTTTATGTAAAAAGGATTGAATTTTGAAAAAAAAATGAAAGGCACGATTTATTGCAAAATATTGTCAATACAAATGTGACTGACATAGATTAGCATTTCAATTTAAAAAATGCTGAAATTGTGTAAAATTAATTATTTATAGACGATTAAAAATTGACATCTTATAATAAAACCTAATACACATGGTAATTGAATGGAAAAGTTATCGTTCTTGAAAAACTTCACAGTAGTGAAATAGGTAGCCGGTTTCCTGAAGTACACAAAAATGGACACTTGTGACTCATTGATAAAAAAAACTGAATTAATGCCTGGATTGCTTTGAAATACTTTAATATTGAGAGAACACACTGTTCTGTCAATAATAAACATACAATATTCATCAGTTTAATATTAAACATTAGAATATGCGGAAATTGTGATACTGTCTCCCTACATTGGATTTTCAATTAGGGATGTACTTCCTATTTCCGTTTATTAATACACTCCTATGACCTTAAGTGCATTCTCGGAAGCCGAGTTATATATTTGGCATCCGTAATCTATTTTTGATCCTAATTTATTCCCGGATACGAATACTAGCGTGTTTAGTGCCCTTTTACAGCTTTCTTTTATAATTATCAATATGTGGGATCCATGATGGTTTTTGATCGACTATCATTCCTAGGTATCTCGTTTGCTTTACATATTGTATTTTTTTTATTACCTAGATAGATATCTGGTTGTTTATTTCTTCTAGAAAATGACATGGCTACCGTTTTCTCTTTAGAGATTTTGAAGCCCCATTTATCAGCCCATTTTATTGTAGCTATTGAGTTTTAAATGAGAGTCTAGTTTATTCATATATATATATTGAATAGAGTAGGTGAGATTACACTACCTAGTGGTACTCCGTTTTCTAATGTATGTTCATCTGATAGGGTATTATTTATCCTTACTAGAATTTTCCTATCCTTCAAAAAATAGGAAATAAACTTTAGGATGTTGCCTGATATACCTACTTCTTTAAGTGACTTTAGTAGCCCCTCGTGCCAGATAAGATCATATGCTTTTTCAAGATCTAGGAACACGGCTAAGGTATGGTGGGTTTTACTTAGCCTTTTTTTTCCGGGCATTATTCTAACTAGGGAATCTATAGGGTATATCTATGATTTCTGAAACCGCTTTGGTTTTCGCTTATTGTAGTATTTTTGCTATTGTTTACTATACGATGCTGGATTTTCTGTATGTTTTCCCGGTATTAAAATTGTAATTACTACCGCTTTATTCCAAGTTTTCGGGTAGGTCCCCGTTTGCCAAATACTGTTTATTATGTCTAAAATAATTATGAACAAAAGCCTGGAAACAAAGATGAAAGATAAAGACCAGCAGAACCCGGGTCAGTGACCGAAGGGCCGATTTAGTTTAAACGGTTAAACCAGTCAGACCACAGTTGTTCGGTATTAGATAAGGTCGGATCTAGTAATATGATGCTGCTTTCAGGCGAGCCTTGACAAAGCCTTGCAAGGCCTGCATAATACCCGACATTTTTACATTTATAAATGGACAAACCGGTTGTTCCGCATAAACGAACAGGTCCTGGTCTTATAGAATGTTATAAACGGGAGCTGTGCACGGTAAAGCACCTAATCGGAAGCCTCAGTTTCGTATTTCTCAACCGGAAATGAAGTATGAGAACGTGAAAGTAGGAGTTTAATGCCACCAAATTGAGGTTTGGTCGTGCAAAGCTAGCTTTATAAAGCTCCCTTTTATAACATTAGGTCTTATATAAGATGATATAACCTAAAGAATCTAGACGTGAATACATTTATCGATGGAAAATATACGCGAAGGGTGTTCTTTCAAGGTTGACTACACACGATAAAAACTACCTCTTTTACCTGTACACTATAGATAGCAAATTTGAACAGGTACACCCGGAGTAAGGATTACGTGTAAGTCCCTTTTATGTTTAACCCGGACGTTAGGGACCCAGTACGTGGTTAATGTATCAACACGTCGGTCGCCATGAAGCCTATATTCTCTGCTACCATACTTCTGTGGGTATTGAGATTGACAGGTAAGTGCATTTACCTTATCATCGACAAGAAACAAACACACGAATCTCCTGGAAATCACTGACAATCAAATCAACAGAATGAGTGAGACAGAAAGTAACACTATTCACTGTACGAACCCTTATTAGTATTGTACACTTTGTACTGAGTGATACTGAGTATGCACCTTAAGCTTTGTGTTACTTCCTTGTTTCTATGTTTTGTGTTACTTCCTTGTTAAGGACATTCCAATATGGCTGCCACACCAAACTGTATATCAAATTCAATAATGCATTCCGTTAGACTGAAACAATCCCTGTCACAAAATAATCCTCCTCCAATATTTCTCAAACATAATTGAGGTACATTCACACTAAATTTCAGAAAAAAACATTCAATAACTGATGAAAAAAACTCACTTTTTATATGTCCATTTTTCAAGCTAAATAAAAGTCACAATTCAGGACAAAAAATCATTTAAACTTTAAAATTTCATAAGGTTGGATGTCCATGGAGATGCATTTGTCGAGAAAATTGTAAGAAAATGTGTCAAATATCCAGAATAACTAAATTGCTTTTTCCATCTACCAACATCTCTCGTTTAGGCCACCTGAGCCAAAGAGCTGGAATCAATTGTCTACATGAGCAAAAATATCACCAGGGGCTTTATTGAAATGGTAAATTTCGGTACCCTCGGGTCATTCGCTCCCCCTTTTGAGGTGGTAAAGTTAACAATAGTTGATACTGGAAAATATTGCATTTTGTTATAGTTTGTCCATTTTCGACAGGAAATCAGTCAAGCTTGGAGGGAATAATTGTGATAGGATGGCAATAAGAAAATATTATTCTGCCACGCCCCAGGGGCCTGAGGGACAGGGCTCAAAATGGGGCTTTATGTTAATTGTATATTTATTTTATGCCCGAACATTTGTTTTCTCTAAGGGAGGGGGTAAACTTTACTATAGTTTATAAAAAGAATAACACGTTGGACTAAACAGTATTTTATCCATTTTCTGCAGGAAATTGTTCAAACTTGATTGGAACAATTATGATTCATGTATGATGGCAATAAGACAGTATGAGAAAATATGATTCTGCCTCGCCCCAGGGACTAGAGGGGCAGGGCCGAAAGGGATGTAATGGCTAAACTTTTCAAAATATTCTTCAGACTTAGATATACTAGAATTGAATTATCTTAATGGGTGGAAAGATCATTAGGGCTTGCTCCTTTCTCCCTTTGAGAGTGGGTAAAGTTTATTATAGTTTTTATAAAACTTGGTGGTAATAATTTTGATGTGTTAGCCGTCAGATAGATAAGAACCTGCCTCGCCTCTTCTGCCAGAGTTGCAGGACCCAAAAGGGGAACATTGCTTTAATTTCAAAACTCTTCTCCACGCTCAGAAGGAAGTACTTTTTATGGATAGAAATGCTCTTTAGTGCATAATCTCAATTGTTTTATTACCCTTTGCCAATCAGTTCTCCGTTTGGGAGGGGCATTTTTTTACTATAGTTTATAAAGGGAAATTACACTCTTGACTGTACAGTATTTTGTCCATTTTCAGCAGTTATATAATTCAAACTTAAATGATTGGAATCATTATGATGAAATTAAATAGTTTAAGAAAGTAAGCCCAAAGAGGGAAATTGGCTTAATGACAACTGATATTATGTTCCCCAATAGCAAAAAATAATTTATTTGCATAGTTTTAACCTTTATTTTTTCCTTTCTTGACATGACAAGTAATGCTTTTCTGGAGACCAACTCTGTGATAGACTTACAGAATGGACATATGTTAAAACATCAGGATATATCTATTATCAGATAAGGAAATACTGCTTATAATCAAAGTACTGAACATACTCCAGACTCATGCTTTCTTGATGTTACCGCATGTTCAGTAATATCTTTGCGATGATAACAGTTCATTTTTTGGGATTTGCCTTTTTTTTATTCTGACGCAACAATCCCATATATTTACATTTGGTGTGGCAAAGCCCTTCTATATTACTACTAAAGTACTGCCAATAGCAGCTTCATCTTATGAGACAATAACTGAAGTTGGTCTTTGCTCCTCCGAGCGACTTAACAGTGTCACTACCGAACTTATCGGTATTTCCTGCTTTGATCCCTAACACCAGCTGCCTGTCTCAAGTGTCTGTGAGATCAACGAACAATTTTACGCCTGGATTTTTCACCAATTCAACCTTCTCCGGTTGCACGATCAACATCAACAACATGCCGATTACCTGACCTGATTACTGCGGGCTTCCGTTGAGTGCGTGCGCCGGATATAGGTCGCAATAAAATCGGAAAATGTTTTACGACACTTGATTAGTTACTTACAAAATGTCATTTGTTACTATTTATGAATCGAGAATATGATATATATATAAAACAAAATCAAATGAATTATTAACGAAAGTTGCGGAGTCTTTTCAATTTTGGATGGGAAATAGCGCATGACGTCAGCTGTTATCTTTGTGCTGTTCTAGATACTGACCTGACCTGACGGTAATACGCGGTAAATTTGAAATTTGGAAAAGACATAATTTATTTTGCGAATTCTCATTATGGAAATATAAATGTGAGCAATAAACTGCATAGATGTGGCAGACCAACTGGTATAACTGCCACATCTATGCAGTTTATTGCTTAAATATTTTGTATTTCGGCATCATCTGTTAATGTTTAGATAATGAATTAAAATACTAGTGCCAATTGGAGAGGAGAGAGCTACAAAGCGTAGCTTGATCACTTAATTAAGGAAAATAGGCATAAATATTACAAAACAAATGTATCTGAACGTGGATTCGAACCTACACCGTTCTCTTCTTCTGGTCACAAGTAAACTGCGTTACACATTAGGCTACATAGGACATACACGAATATGGAAATACAAACTGTTTTAACCCAAGAAATATCTGTCGCAGTTTTGAGAAACTTTATCAACCCTGTTTTTCATTATTTTGAGCACTTTCCCAAACGTGGACCACTTTTCCGTCATATGTTTTGTTTTTTCATATAACTCATCAATTTTTTCCGTTTTCAAAAATGCCGACATAAGGAAATACGGGCAGTTGTCCGCCATAGCTCTTTATTGAAACTGTTGTGAACTGATATTTATTCTTATTTCTTGTTTGTGTCTTTTTCCAGACGGGTGTCTCGTATCCTTGACTTACCACCTTGTACTTTCCTAATGGTCTCTATATACTTCTATTTTTCATTTCAATTTTCTTAAGAAAACAATTATCCTCCTTTGGTTTCTTGTAAGTAAGCATAACACTTGACTACCTTTTAATCCACCATGCAAGAACAAGTATCGGCGGAAAATGTCTAAAAATGTATAGAATATTATTTTGCAATCTGTCAGTGGGCAGGATATGATCATCTTTCGGAAGAGTAGCTCGTTGCATGTATCGTCGTATATTTCATAAAGAAAAATCGTGAAAGAGCTTTTCATATGAAATTTGCGTAAAAAAAATTAGTATGAATTGTGAACGCTCCAAAACATTGGATCAAATTTTAATTTACATGCGATTTTTTTAATGTGTTATATATTGATAAAAAATCCTCGCAATGGTTCCTGATTTGAAGGCATTAAAATGTTATATGTATTTTCCTTCTTGCAGTCGTATTTCATATAAACTTCTTTAACTTTAACGCTTGTTCCCTGTTACTGCTTCGGACCAATGACCTCACAGATACAAACGTCTCTAATGGTTCGCTGACCCATTTAATTGATGCTGGGTATGATATCAATTAGTGTCAACAATTCAACACCGAGCTTATAAACATGTTAGAGGGGATGGGACAGGTATTGTGCGGGCAGTATAATACAAAAACAGAACCATTAGTCAAGAAATGAAAATAATAAAATCATATAAACTTGCTAAGCTCGGAATGAACCCAAAACATAATATATTGATTTCCACATCCCGGTGACAGTGCGTCAGAGACGTATACTATATATGGCTTTATACGTCTCTGAGTACGTACACCAAACGGAGCTTAGGGCGTCACATCACATCATTCATGAATTTTATTTTTATTGCGCACTGTTTATGTTGGAACAAATTAACACGTTTGCCCAAAATATAAATGTATTTATGTAAAATTAACAACAGCAGTAGTACAAAAAATACTTATAAAAAACAGTGTACAGAAACACTGCGTTATTAAATTGAATAAATGTGTAACAAGTTCGTAACAAACCTATCTTTCAATTCGTCTTGATCACCGCATCATGTTTCAATAATATTGATAAAATGCCTGTGTTGTTCATGTTTGAAAGAAAAAACATCAGACTCCATCTTTTGCCGGTCATAATCTATAAACCATTCATGGATATTTTTAAATACTATGTGTATTACTCCAATAACGGAGGGAAGCCCTATTTCATGCATGCTAGGGTTAGGGGTCCTCTTGACATGGGTTACAAAACTAGCACAGAAAAATAGGACAACTTCATCTAAATCTGACTAATTGGGTTAGTCGAATATCCCATCTGAGGAAGATAAGATTTTGTGGTAACAATTATGGTTCAACCCTACATAGAGGTAAACCGCGGCGGTGACCTTTGGTCTCATCCAGCCAGCTCAGCTGCTAGCTGTTCGACGGGAAGCTACAGTTATCAAAGTTCTTTTCTTGTGTTAATGTATTGGTCCTGTCGATCTATTCTGTGCTTACAATAGACTCTACTGAATTGGATAGAATATTTTAGGGAGAAGTTTTTAATTCTGACGGAAAGAATAGTCATATTCAAGTGGTCGGTGGTAAAATTTCAGGCTTATTTGCAGAGGTGATATAAAGCAAAACGTAAGTGATCCAAACATTGTGACGGGAAATGTACTGTAGTTCGGTTTGAACACTGCTATAAGTAGGTCAGAGGAAATCATTCTCTTTGGGGAAGAGCACGGGAAGCGCAATTTCAGCAAGCAGAGCTAATCGGACTACTTTTGATTTGTTTGCATTATAAAACATGCATTGTTGTATTTTTTTACATACATCTGAAGAAAGTATCGA